CTCTAACTGCTGAAAGTACAAGAATAATTAATATGATAAAACAACATAAACCAAGTATTAAACATAACCTTACTCCCCCAAATTAATACTCTAACTGCTGAAAGTACAAGAATAATTAATATGATAAAACAACATAAACAAAGTACTAAACTTTGACCTAATTCCACTGGTTGATGTATGGTTTTTCAGAAGACATATTTTGAAATGTCATAAATAACAACAATTAAAACAGTAAACCTCACCTGGTGAGGCTGATTTTTCCACGTATCAAATTCTCCATCTTTGTTCAAATTTCTCGATCCATTAGAACCTAAATAAATCAAAGATTTAGTGAATAAAACAAAAAAAGCAGGTTAAGTTACACAGTGTATAACTATCAAGTTATACATGATGTACAAATATAACATTTAGGGAAAGTCAAATTACAAAGTGTACAGCTACAACATGTATGGAAAGTTATGTTACAAAGTGAACAACTATAACACGTACAAAAAGTTAAGTTACAAAATGTACAACTATAACATATATGGAAAGTTAAGTTACAATGTTTACAACTACAACATGTATGGAAAGTTAAGTTACAAAATTTACAACTACAACATGTACGAAAAGTTAAGTTACAAAATGTACAACTATAACATGTACGGAAAGTTAAGTTACAAAGTGAACAACTATAACATGTACAGAAAGTTAAGTTACAAAATGTACAACTATAAATTATATGGAAAGTTAAGTTACAATGTTTACAACTACAACATGTATGGAAAGTTAAGTTACAAAATGTACAACTATAACATGTACGAAAAGTTAAGTTACATAGTGAACAACTATAACATATATGGAAAGTTAAGTTACAAAATGTACAACTATAACATGTACGGAAAGTTAAGTTACATGTGAACAACTATAACATATATGGAAAGTTAAGTTACAATGTTTACAACTATAACATGTACGGAAAGTTAAGTTACAAAATGTACAACTATAACATGTACGAAAAGTTAAGTTACATAGTGAACAACTATAACATATATGGAAAGTTAAGTTACAATGTTTACAACTATAACATGTACGGAAAGTTAAGTTACAAAATTTACAACTATAACATGTACGGAAAGTTAAGTTACAAAGTGAACAACTATAATATATATGGAAAGTTAAGTTACAATGTTTACAACTACAACATGTATGGAAAGTTAAGTTACAAAATGTACAACTATAACATGTACGAAAAGTTAAGTTACAAAATTTACAACTATAACATGTACGGAAAGTTAAGTTACAAAGTGAACAACTATAATATATATGGAAAGTTAAGTTACAAGGTTTACAACTACAACATGTACAGAAAGTTAAGTTACACAATGTACAAATATAAAATGAAGGGATTATTAAACCATACACACACTATAACACCCAAAGAGTTTTAATTAGTCCTCTTTCACAGTCTACAAAACATATGCTGTAGTAGTGACACATATGAAGAGGTAAGAACTCTAGAGACAGCTGAGACCATCATAAAAACTTTAAGTTTTCCGTCTCTCTGTCATCAATTTACAGAATAACAGTTCAAGAATTTAACCACATGTCAAAACTTGTTTCATTGAACAAAATTCTTAAAAGTGGTCTCCTTAACTGAATATACAGATCTTGAAAAAAATAACTTAAGTTTCATTTCCTTAATTTCATTTTAATATCAAATAGTAATACTTCAGTGATAGTTAATAATTGAAACAATTTATTTCAAAAAAATCTAAATCACAAAACAGCTCATTTGATGCATTATCATAGTTTTTAATGATAGTTATTATTCTTCACAGTAAACTCTCCTAACTTGTGATTTTGTGTAGTACAGCGAGCATGTTGTACTCAACATTAATGACTAATGAGAAAACTAATAAGTTGTGAAGTGTATTAAAACACTCCTACAGAAACTGTCTATACTTTACATAGCTTTGTCAGGAAAGGCAAAGTTTATTTATATATGTGAAACTGCTCAAGTTGTTGTGGTGAAATACTTTATTCTTACGATGGTTTGATAACTTACCCAAGTTTCCTTGTCCTTTCATTTGCTGGCTAGCCATCAAATCATGAAAAAAAGAAAGTAAAATAAGTTTAGATCAAAAACCTACATGCATTCAGACTATGTTCCCTTATCAGAATGATTAAATATGTTGAAATAAGGAGCAAGTTAAACATGATGTTCACAGGTACTGAAGAAAGCTTTAAAAGTTAATGTTCTGTAGCTAGCAGCCTGCACTAGTAGTGTCCTGTCTTGTTAATGATTAGACAGGTACCAAAGAAAGCTTTAAAAACTAATGTTCTGTAGCTAGCAGTCTGCAGTAGTAGTGTCTTGTCTTGTTAATGATTAGACAGGTACTGAAGAAAGCTTTAAAAACTAATGTTCTGTAGCTAGCAGTCTGCAGTAGTAGTGTCTTGTCTTGTTAATTATCAGACAAGTACTGAAGAAAGCTTTAAAAACTAATGTTCTGTAGCTAACAGCCTTTAGTAGTACTAGTAGTGTCTGCCTTGTTAGTGCACGGACATGTACTGAGGAAAGATTTAAAAAACAATGTACTGCAGATAGCAGCCTACAGTTGTACTAGTAGTATCTGGCTTGTTAATGATTAGACAGGTACTGAGGACATTTTAAGGACTGATGTTCTGTAGCTAACAGCCTTTAGTAGTAGTGTCTGTCTTATTAATGATTAGACAGGTACTAAGGAAAGGTTTAGTAAGGAATCCAGTGGCTAATTGTTGGTCTGTCTTGGGTAATTATTTTCTACATTTACTAAGCCATGTTACTCTACATCCTTCATCAGCTTTAACAAATTGTTAATAGCACAAAGACACACAGTTGGACACTTGCCCAGAACTTACTGCTAAGTTTTATTTGCATCCTCAGAATGTTTGTATTGGAAGATGGCTAATGTTACTCAACTTTTCAATGGAGACAATAAACATTGTTCCAGTAATTATAGGCCTATTAGTCTTACATCAGTGATAGGTAAAGTTTTTGAAAATATGATAAAAGATACTTTACAGTGTCATTTAACAAGTTTAAAACTTTGTTGGACAGTCAATATGGTTTTGCTAGAGGAAAATCTTGCCTTACAAATATTTTGACATTCTATGAAGTGATTACTGTTTATGTAGATGAGGGTGTAGATTTGGTTTATCTGGATTTTCAGAAAGCATTTGACAAGATGCTACATAAAAGACTTGTTAAAAAAAAAAATCTCCATAGGTGTGGGAAAATGTAGGCTCATTGGATACAAATGTGGCTGGAAGTAAGAAGGCAGAGAGTTGTTATTAATGGATATCAGTCAAATTGGATTAATGTTACAAGTGGGGTACCTTAGGACTCAGTGATTGGAAATTTGATCTTTTCGATTTACACCAATAACACAGATGAGGAAATGATTAATAGATTATTTAACTTTGCTGACGATATTAAGGTTTTGGACATTGCTAGCTGTGAGGAGGATGCTGCTGTTTTATAAAAGGATTTTGATTAGTTCAGCAAATGAATGGCAGATGGCTTTTAATTATAATAAATGCAAAGTAATAACCTTAACAATGTTATGTAAAATAAAGGATTTTTGCATTCTGGTTATCAGCCTCTTAAACCATCCAAGCAATTTGTTGTTGCTCATGGCAAGGCAAATAGGATTTTAGGTAGTATATACAAAAATATTGAATACAAGTCTAAAATACTTAATTTTATTGCTTAGATCTCTGGTTAGGCAAATTTGGAGTACTGTGTTCAGTCTTGGATGCCTTACCTTTGAAAGTACATTCATTTGTTGGAAAGTGCTCTGTGGAGGGCTACTAGGATGATACCGGGGATGGAAAGGTTCTTACATGAGGAAAGGTTGAGATCTCAAACTGCTTTCTCTTAAAAAAAGAAGTTACAAGAGATCTGACTGAGGTGTTTAAGAGTGCTAAGGAATTTGATAATGTTTATGGATCATCTTTTTTGTATTCTTAATGATGAGAATGGTATTGGTAGGACTAGGAACACATGTATAAATTTTGGCAAGGTAGAAGTAATATTCAGTTAAATGTTATTTTTCTAACAGAGTGGTTGGCCTTTTTGAATGGGCTGCTATCAGATGTAGTGAATGCAGTAAATGTAATTTTAAGGGAGTTTAAAGAAAGGCTTTATAAATCTTTGAAGTATAAGGGCTGGTTTTGAATGCTTAATTTTATTTTAAAGTTTAATTTAGTGGATTAGATGACTTAGATGAGCCAATATGTCCCTTGTTGTCCTTGAGGCTTTACTTACATATACGAGTATATATCCAGCATCAGATCACAGCTGACACAAGAAATAGTATTTTAAACTTAATACCTTTTATTTTTACTTTTCCCTTGTCTAAATAAATGTTGGGGTCAGACTAATGATAGGCTTAATTATCCTAATTTGTCGGAACTGCGCCTATACTTTATATATTTAATTTTTTTAATACTAATAGTCATACTCATACTTAGTGTGATAAATTAAGTTACATTTACATCGTCAATATTTTTAAATACATTTTACTTGTGACATTTACAATCTTTAATTTAGATATAATCTTAAAGTATTACACTGAATTTCATAAAACTAAGTTAAAACTTAGATAGTTAAGCATGGCCAAGCCTAAACCATGATATACGTAAAGGCTTTATTGCTTTAGGCCTAATATAATAACCATACCTGGACAATACAAAGTTCTAAGAAACTACGTACGATTGCGAACTAAATTGACATTCCAATTTCCAGCCAAGAAAAAGCTTTGTTGGTAAGTTATTTTTGTTAAAGTAAAAAATAATAGAGACATAAAAATAATCTAGTGTTCTAATTTACTTTTTATATTGATTAACATTAGGAATAACAAACTTTAAAAAAAAACTTACAGATGGTACACGACTTAAAAAAAAAGAAACAATAAGTTTGGAGTTTAACACCGGAAATAGCAAATATCACGTGATAATAGTGTTACATCCGATAAGAGAAGACTCAGTTTTCTATGGTTGATAGCAAAATAAATCCCCGACCTAAAATATAATGATAATTGGTTTAAAAATATGAATTAATGTAAAGTTTATTGATAATTGAATAAAAATAATAATAATATTTTAAAATAAATGTGATTCAAGATGTAATCTAGCGGTAAACTTGCATAATCTCTACTTCCGATATATTAAGATATTATAAAATATTTAAATACTATTCCAAAATGATAAGTGTGTATCTAGTCTGTTTATAAGGAGGTCAAATAATGTATAAGTTTAGTTTTTATATCTTGTATATGTAGGCGTAGTGAACCGCTGAGTACTTTTTTAACCCAGTAAACAGTCTATCAAAAATCAAAAAGTCTTATAGATGTGCGACGTTATTAATGTGAAAGCGGAAAGTGTTCAGTGTTGCCGAGCAGAATTCGACAGTAACACCATTACAGTGGCAGTAATTAGAGTAACATGAATATCGTGTTCAGGTGCCTATAAAAAGTTTTTTTTTTTGACAGAGCTTATTTGACTAATTTTAGTTTTGAGACAAAAGGACAACTTAATACCAGCTAAACTTGAGTTATGCTAACGTATATGCATAATGTTTTGCTCCTATTATGAGATGTGTCACGAACAGTGATTGATTTTGTGAAAACCTGCCAAGCAGTATTTTGATTTTGAGCGGGTGTGATACAATGGTTAGTGGGTTCGGGCTGTAAATATGTGTTCCTATTTCGCGATCTGATGCCACAAAAACGCAATCCGCACTTTGAGGCATGGGTACACTAAAAAGAGTAATAGTCAAAATTCAATATTCGGTCGGACAAATCTATTCCAAGAGTTGGCGGTGGATATTGTTGGCTAGCTACCTTACCCCTGTTGTCTATCAAATGAAAATTAGAAACAGCTTTCTCAAATAAAACTGGTTTATTCTTTCTCAATTCAACTTTGCAATACACTTAATTTCCACAGTCACCTTTACTTCAACACACGTTATAATTTACAACGAACGATTCACTTTTCTTACTACCGCGCTTGACTCAATTGTCCGTCTATATCTTCAATCTCTCTGTCTGCTATACCATTCCGATTAATTGTCTGGCACACTTATATACAAGAATAGAGGGCGCATAACAAATACTGGATTATTCGTGATGTTCCCCGATCTGTCTAGAACTCATTACATGTTACCAGGGTCACATGAATTCCGCTGTCGTAACATTGCCCCTTGCTTAGTATTGTTCGTCCCGAACAATAGCCACTTAAGTTAAACCAATAGATAATTAACAATAACTTAATTAAATGTACAGGATTTACAAACACAAAATTAAAATTCAGCAAAGTCTCTTAATTTTACGGGACGTATCTTCTTTCGTACTGGTCTCCATCTCGTTGGCTTCTGCTTCACGTGAGGTTCATCTGCTCCATCGGGAATTGTCCTATCATCGGTAACAGTCACATCAGTGGTAGTAACTTCATCAAGGGCTTCACGGTTTCCCTTTTCAAAACCGAGTAGAGTTTCTTCTTCGACAGTGGCTTTTTCAGGTGACACGTCTTCAGCAATGTCATTTGTTTTGTTGGTCACTTCATCCCAACTGAAATGTCCTGGACTGTGATAACGCCAAAGCCTGTTGGCATGCACCACCTT